TTTGTATGTTTGGTACAAGCTGCATAATAGTACATAATAGTAATACCAGAATAAGTTTGGTGGGTTCTTGGGAATTTATGGGGCATTCAAAACACCCTTATTGAGTGCTCAAACCGTCTATCATGTTTCACCTACTTGAGCAGTCTCTCCTGTACGGCAGGCCAGAAGTCCCTTCTCTTCTCGTCATAGTACATTCTGAACAGGATCCGTAAGGAACAGGCCAGACTGGTGGTCTCCTGCTTCAGCAAGTTGGGCTTGGACTTACCCTTGAACCCTGCATAGAGTCACAAGAATGACGTGTATTCCTTAAGACACTGTTGCGAGTCAGAGTAACAAACCACCAACTCCCATGCAACCAGGTGCAGTAGTGTACCCTGGAAACAATCATCAGGTACAGAAACCATGGCCAGACTAATTCCAGTGCCATTATGATCCTGATTCTCAACTTTTGGATGCCTTTGCTTTTCAATTGTGTTCACAAATAAAACTTGAAGTTACGGAAACAAAATAACAGATACAACCAGTCTTGGAAATTTGAACAAAAACATTCCTTAACTCCAATCTTTAAGCACCCATGTGAAGTGTTCAGTAACAACTCTATTGATGAACACCTATTTCTTTAATATTTCTAACACTCACAGAAACAACCTATGTACTGCTCTAAAGAAGCATTTTTAAGTAGCCAGCATAGAAAATAAGTCTGACCAAAAGAGTGGAATAGGTTAGTGAGCAAAACAAGGACACAATAAGGTTAGGCACCCTACAGTCTAGCTTACAACCCTTCCCCATCTACCAAGGCTGTTCAATAAAGATTGACCCTAACCCACTTCCAGGTAGAAAGGGGCTGATATTGCTATGCATAATCACACATATTTCTATAGGTCACATGCATGTTTTCGTTTTTGAACACTTTCTTTTTAAGTGTAATATTGGAGCCAGATGAATTCAGACTACAGGTCCTGTATATATATTGTTATGTTCATCAAAAGTTATTGTGGACCAATTTTCCAGGGAAAAAAGAGGAAAGAAACTCTTATAATTAGTCTAAATGCTTAATGAAAGTGCCAGGTCTCAATCTACGGAATATTACGGTAGTTCATGAGGACTTTTGAAGAACATACTGAGTACTCAGGACCCTGATCACCACTGAATTCAGATGTTATAATAATAATAATAATAATAATAATACTGGTTTATTTCTTTCATACTATGCTGTACAGAGTAGCAGGGTCCCTGCAGGGCCCTGAATTGATCTGCCGCATTACAAATTGTTAAAAACGGTTGGCACAAATATTAAAAGCAATTATTAAAGACAGTTGAAAACAGCAATTATTAAAAGTATTTACAATAGGTGGCGATCATGTTAAAATAGCCATGTGACCCATGGATAGAAAAATAAATGTGCATTTTTTTTACAAAGCCTGGAAGTGGGCCTGGGGGAATCTTTACTGAACCTCCCTGACAGATATCCCCAACGTGCAGACAAGTGCTTAGTGACCACGACGTGAAACAAGCAGAGAGGGAGGTGAAATTTTGGAGTGTGTTTTTGACTACCAGCACATTCCCAGGGAGTTCGCTCATTCATGTCGGGGTGCAGGTCCAACAGGTTGGTAAAGTGTCCTTCCATGCCACTTAAACTGACTGGTGGGAGAGAATAACCAAATATACACATTGTTCACACGTACATCTGGGACCACTGTCTGTGTGCCACTATGGTCTCAACAAGCTCCAGTGAAGCTGGGTACTGACATAGAACACAGAACTGCAAATGGATGAGTGTGAAGTAAGCTCAGAAAAGGAGTGTAATTTTTTTTAATCTCTTGCCTTGTTTCAAACCAGTAAGAAGTAGTCAAAATGATTAACTCAA